CCCCTGCTGATAGAGATCAGAGAGTTGGCTATTTATTAATTGCTGCTTCCAAGGTTTAGACTTGCAGATCAAGTTTTCTAAAGAATATTCATATGCACATTTCTCCATGATTTACTGGCTCTGCAAACACTCCGTGTCAGTAAAAGTGCATAATAATAAAATACTTTTTCTCAGAAGTTATAAAAATACTGTATTTGAACTTTGTGAATCTGCCAAAAAGTCAAAGACAGATGCTTTATACCCAGAATTTTCTCTAAATTCCAAGACTCTTTTTAGTTTTGTGATTGCTAAAGAAGATGCCAGATGGCATCGTAATTTCGGTGTTGATTCTAAATCACTTACTGCAGGTTGACAAGCTGGGGCCCCGCAGCCACCTTGAAAGCACAGGTGTGCCACTGGAAACAGACCCGTCTTCTCGCAGCCACCGTTTACAACACTTTAATAGATATTAACTTTGGAATTAAAGAAGTGAGGGCTGTGAGCGCAAACTTAAGCCTTGAAGTAAAGATTTGTTTGAAATCAAAGGGCGTTCTTGCTGACCAAATGGCAGTGACACAAGCGTGCGTCTCCTTCAGAGGTTCTGTTTATGCGGTCTGCATGTGGAAAATGTATCCTAAAGCGGCCTGGCAGTCGGCCCGATAAAAGTTGGCCCTCAGGTGCCTTGACTGTCTGTGTTACTGGTAGCAGAGCTCAGTTTGCCTTCTGTTAAGGTGAAGCCCTGAGCAGTGACCATGCTGCAAAACAACTCGACTCCTACTTTTAGATTTTTGAGGAGAGAGAGAGAGAGAGAGAGAGAGAGAGAGAGAGAATTACCCTTTCTCTGTAAGAGCCTGTATTTACGTTGAAATGGAGCCTCGCTGTCTGTCTTGGAAAGATCGGACCTGAAGTCGGGTTCTCTCCAATTCAAACTGGGCATTGTAGAGATTGGCAGCGGTATCCCTCCGGGGGCTTCAGGCTTTGCACACTCCGAACTTGCTACCTGTTCCACGGCGAAATTTTCAGCCAGGAAAGACCTGGACATTTAATGTTGTTCTTGGCTGAGGGCGATATGAACCTTCTTTTCCAGGAGAAGGTAGGAAAACAAATCAGTCAACTGTAGCAGAGAAAAAAGATGGGGGCACAGGCTGAGAGGCAGCCTCTCGATCTGGCTTGCAGGGCACTAGCAAGAAAGAAGGAACTATTGTTAAGAATCTGATAAAAAACTGCAATTTATGTGCTTTTTTTTTTTTTCAGGAAACCTTTTTTGTTCCCATTACAGTTCACTTGCACCATTATTTTCTATTGGTTTCAGGTGTACAGCGTAGCAGCAAGACAATCGCCACTATGCTGTACAAAGTGCTGACCCTGATAGTTTCCAGTGCCCTCCTGGCACCACCATAGTTACCACAATAGTGTTCACTAGCTTCCCCATGCTGCACGTTCCATTCCTGTGACTATTTTCTAACCACCAATCTGTACTTCTTAATCCCTTTGCCTTTTTTCACCCAGGCCCCCAAGCCCCCTTTCTCTGTTAATCGTCAGTCTGTTCCCTGTATCTATGAGTCTGTTTCAATTTCATTTTTTCATGCATGGATATTTTTTAATAAAACGTTCTTTGGGTGAGACCTTACAAAGTGAAACAAAATTCTGCTCTTCAGTCCTTGTAAAGATGGCAGCTGGACTCCAGGCCACCACAGGGCCCAGTGTGTCTAAACCAAGAGACATCATTTGTCAGTCTCAGCAACCTTACTATCGGCTTTGTAAATTTAGAGTAGAAATTGGGATGAGAAAGGGAAGGATTGCATTCTGGGCAAAGGATGGCTTTGAGGAGCAGCTTTAGAACCTAGCTCTACCTCGGCCCACCTGCTAGGTCCTGATTGAACCCGGCAGATCCACTGCACCTGGAGGCGAGAATCGGCTGTGACAACAGCATTGCTCCGCCCAATCAGGAGGACCTGCAGTGAGGTGCTCCCTGCTACGACCCAGCCATGACAAGGAGATGGCACCAGACTGTTGTACAGTATCTTTCTTGTGGCCACTTCCACTGGAGGGTGTGACGAGCCAGCAATTACAGTGAGTACGCCTGTCCTATAATGTGGGACATAGGTGTTCCTAAAAAAATAAATAATAATAATAATCCCTGTGTGATAGAATTTGCGCTCCCAAAATAACAGGGCTTATGGGAAAATGGAGTTGGGGCAGAAAACTCAAACCTTGAACTGTTTTGTAAGTGATGCAAGAAAACTACCACAATTTTAATGTAAACATCATAAGTTCATAATAAAGACACATTGGTTTACATGTAGAATATGATTTGGCAAGACGTGAAGTTTGCTTGGTAGAGGTGTTTATGGTTTTTCAGAGGAAATGGAGTAGGTGGCTGTGGCTTTACTGTCTTGTTTTTCGTTCCTCTGAACTGGTTTATGACAGATATCCCACTTTTATTTTGCTAATTGCCCCCTCTCATAAAGAAGCTGTTTGTCTGGCCCCAACTGAGCCCAGCGGACACAAATCCGCTCTGGTGCTGCGGGAAGTTTGTAGTGATCCTGAGCCCACTGCAAATGAGTGCTTTTCAGTTTTCAGTTCCCCGGAAAGCAGGTGACTCTTGGGAAGTTAAGGTCACGCTGGGTCTTTGTTTTCTGGGTTGTCTCCTCTGTTCATCAACATGAGGAGACAACGTCAGGCCGGCTGGACATTGCCATGGCACATTTCCTTATTTCAAAGCGTCGCAGTACTTGAGGCTTCTCCTTTTTTCCTTTGCTATTTAAAATCAGGGCATTTCCTCAGGTTTCACTGAGAAACTACAGCAGGCTGTGCAGGTGGGTAAAATGGAGAGAGAAGGCGTCGGATCACTCTCCCACAGGTCATCATTTATGCTCAGCTGCACGTTTTGCGCATTTACCTGGTGTTATCAATAGTGCAGCACACAGGTACCTGGGGGGAAGCTGCCTAGGGACAAATACCATTCTGGTTTTAGTGACATAATTCCTTATTTATGTGCAAATTTTCACATCACAGACATACATAGCAACGCAATATATATGTATCAGCTTGCTTTTCCTTCCTGCCTGATTCCTGAAATAATTAGGGTTTCCTTCTTTTTCTGCAAGTTTTTCCTTTTTAAAGTTCTCCTCTTCAGTTCATTTTCCTTTGACAGGAGCTGCGTTCCCACTGGTCCAGCTGTCTTCCTCCCTCAGGTTGCCGGGTCCCACACACTGAGTTGTGACTTTGTTTGGCTACTTGGGACTGCAGGCTCTGAGGATGCGTACAGGTCAGGCCGTTCAACATTCAGGCAATGGCAAATGGGCCACTTACTTGGTGCAGAAGTCTCTCTGCTCTGGTTCTCTCCGAAGGCAAAACGCAGTTAGCTCCTAGCAGCTAAGAGGAGCAATTCGATCTACCAACAGTATTGACAAGTATCCCACTTTTATTTTGCTAATTGCCCCCTCTCATAAAGAAGCTGTTTGTCTGGCCCCAACTGAGCCCAGAGGACACACAGCCCTGTGTAGGTCTACATGGGTCTGCGGGGTCAGGCAGGCTTTTCCCCACACAGAGCAAGTGAGGTTGACAATGTTCTGATTGAATAAATGTGACCATAACTGGGCTCAATACTCATACAGGGCACGCTGGCAACGATCTCACCTCTTCAAATCCTGCGGTCTTGTTAGAATCAAGACTTTCTTCCCTGAGCATTTCTCATCCAAGAAATATGTGCAGGGCATTGTTGAAGGTGCTTAGGATACAGGAGATAAGAAAACAAATCCACCCTGCTTACAGCTGCTGCCTCAGAAGCTGGGGGCTTGTGTATTGACTCACACCAAAGACGACCACATCAGAAGTTAGGGGTGGAGACGCTTTTTGGTCCAACAGTTTAAATCTATGTGGCCCTTTGCCGTGAATGGCAGCTGTTGACCTGTGCCAGGTTATGCTTGCTTTTGTACAGAATTTGTGATATGTCAACATAAATACACACTCTTTCTCATCCAGCAGTGGCTAAGTCCATGGGCTTCTGAGCCAGGCCGCCTGGATTCAAATCCTGAATTGACCACTCAGCAGTTCTGTGACCTTGCCCAAGTCACTTAACTTACTACTGCCTCAGTGGGTCTATATTTACAAGGGGAGGATAACATTATACACATCTTAGGGTTGATGTATGGATTAAATGAATTTATGTAAAGCAGTTGTCTCTGGTACATGAGCAGGTGGTTGGTTGCTAGCAATACTCATATTTAGTGCCAGTTACTGTGACATACGTCACAAGCGGCACAAAGCGGCACCGCCCACACTCAGGTGCACATACTTACAAGTCCACCTGGAGCTCCTGTCCACCCTGCAGCAGCCTGTATGCTCTTTGCTGGGGCGTGTATCAGGGGAAGATGGGCGACTTCTGCTTTCCCAATGCCTAGCACTGTGCTGGCCGGTAGGAGGCAGGCATTCAATACATATTGGCTGAATGAATGGGAAAGGCAGTCTGGAATCTATCCCTTGACTGGCTAGGGCAAGAGAAACGGGAAAAAATTATAAACATGGGCACATACAGTGGCTCAGCATCTAATTTCCAGAGAAGAGATTTTGTTCGATTGTTCCAGAAGCCCAGCCTGAGTGCCCAGCACAGAAGTGCACAGGAGCCTAAGGAGGTATGGAACGGTGCAGAGGCCAAACAGGGGGTCTGCAAAGAGCCCCCCAGGGGGGCGCTGAGAGTTCTAGGGAGCAGCTAGGCATCGTTTTGTTATTTTGGTGGTATGGAGACCCAGAGGGTAGATGGGAAAAGGATGACAGCAGGCTGTAAATACCTCACGTCAAACCGCACCCCACTGAGCTGAAGGGATGAAGTTAGACGCATGGGAGCTTAGATAAAATAGTCACCAAAAGGAAAAGGGAAGGTGGGCTGTCTGCCCAGCTGGCAGGAAGCAGGATGGGGGGCCTGAGCAACTGTGCACGGAGGAGCGGTTGGTGGCGACTTTCGCGGCACTGCTACCCAGGGCTTGTTTTTTCGTAAGTGAAAAACAACAGTTAGCCAAGTAAGCAATTTTATTCTTATCACCCTTGATAACATTCTAATCAAATTACATGATAAAGCAGTTCTACAAAATAATGTATTGCAATTTCCTGTTGAAGGAAGATCCCTTCCTGGCCTTTCTCCACAAACTTTCAGCTCCCACAAGTTTCCTGTGGAAGGCAGGGATGTTTCACCCAGCCTGTGGCTTAGGAGAAACTTATCAGGAGGAAGTTTCAATCACCTCCTTGTGATTTTCTGCAGTTTTCATTCTTCTACAGCCGGCAATCTTCAGGTCTGAAAGACAAAAGCAACACTTACGTCTTCACGAATCATATTTCATTTTCACTCGCCTGATGAAGGTTATTTTTCTGACTTAGCATGACAGTAACTGTTCATCAAGAAATACCGACAAACATTGTATTTAGATTTTTGGTGCAAAACACTAAAGCCAAATCCTTACAAGGTAGAATGGTTACGTGTCAATTCTCAAGTTCTTTGAGAGTATAAATATAAGCCACTTTGTACCTATGCATGGGTGATTTTGTAACTTAAAAAGTTGAATTCAATTTCTGTGTTCTACTTTAGAGTATTTTTTTCATAAGGTCTTTTTCATAAAAAGGATTATTGTGATCTTGAAAATCCATATGAAGATATGAATTTACCTAATAAAGAGAAATTTTGAATGAGTAATTTCCCTATTTTATTAATATATGCCAAATTTAATTTACATTATGACCCATATACAAAATATATAAATAGTAACTCTGGTAATTTAATTATATACATATAAATGGTCTTTTCCTCCTTTATGTATTTATAGGATCAACCATACCTGAAAGCTGCTTTTGGTAGTAAGTTGAAACAACACTTTCAGGGAAATGTTTAATCATAACAATGAAGAAAGGGAAATTATAAAATGCAAAAAAATTGTGTCCTGTAAATTTTTTTCATAGCGTATTTATAGGTATTGAGCTCATATAGAATTTTCGGGAGGAAGTTAGTAATAAGTAAACTAGATATTTTTGAAACAGCTGTGAAAACATTTGACAGTTTGAGTTCCGATAAAAAGCAGATGAACTCTGTTTGCCCTGAAACAACTTATCTAGCTCCTTTCTACATTTGCAGTTTGTTTTCTTAGACAAAATCCTCATCACAAGATACCAGACAGCCCAGCTATGAAGCCCAACAGTCCAGTGGCTGAGCAAATGAACTATATCGTAACTTAAAGTTATTATTTAACTCTGAGGAACCCAGGCACAGAACTGGGAAACAAGCCAAATGCGTTCCACCGCATCAGTCGTTCTGTAACGAGAAGAATGCAGAACTTTGCCACTGTTTTTGAAATCTCTTTGCCAACACAAAAACTGGCAACAGTTTGGGAAATGGCAGTGTGATACGCTAGCTCCGAAGTGCGCCCTTCAGTCTTCGGTGTGTGGCTCAGAGCAGTCGAAGCGGTGAGACACGAGCACACGTAGGAGACAGGCATCCTCCCGTCTGCCCGGCTCACAGAGTCACAAGCGATGCCGCTGAAAGAAATCCTCTACCCTAATGTCCTAACACCAGTCTCTGCGCCTCCAACGCGATACATTAAATTTATTAGTCACAGTGTAGTTGTTTCCACAACCAAGGTCAATTCACTAAGTAAACATGCGATGACAAGAGTACCTTTCAAGGGAATTTAAAAGTAAAACTAGAAATGTGTGTGAGGGTATAAACTGTAAGGAATGTAGACCTGAAGGCAAGAGGGGCCTAATGAAGCCCAAATTTGTTTCAAGATTTTTTGGAGAAAGAAGAGGACGATGAAGCCGTGACGAGTAAGATGAACAGGTTCAGTGTTTAGGAAGCGGCAGCGTGACGTGCTCGGAGGGAGAGGCAAGAGGGCCAGGGCCGGGGAGGGGCCGGAGGAAGGAGCCCCTGGAAAGTGGCAACGCAAAGGGGACCGCTCACTTTCAGCTGCAGGGCTCAGCGAGTGGCGATGCTGTTTAGTTTTTCAGGACAGGGAACGCTGGCAGGAGAGCAGACCCAGAAGGGAAGAATCTTGAATGAAGACAAAATTTGGACATGGCAGGACGCTGGCAATCAGGGTTTGGAGGCCAGGAGAAGGGGAAGGCATCTGAGAGACTAAGAAGATTCATTCTTTTCCATCCGCTTCCATATGTCAAATGGGCCTACTTAAAAATTTTCAAGAGCCCTCCACCGCTTTGTCGAAGGTCAAGCCCCTTGGGATTCAGTACCCAACCCTGCAGTGTGACACAGCCCCCACTAACGCTCCTGAGTCAGTCCTTCTGCACCTTGTGTCTCTACGTTCTGGTCCCATTATTCCACTTGCTATTGCCCAGAAAAAACTTGCACGCCTCTTGATTCAGAAATTTGAGATTTCCTTTGTTTGGATATCTCACCTTTCATCTGCTCAGATGGACCTGGCTAATGTTTCAATGTCCACCTCCGGAGCCAGAGAGTGAGTTCTTCCCGGAAGCCCTGCACACCCCTTCCTGTCTGACTTCCGCCGGGCTCCCTTCTCTGAGGCCGCCAGAGGACGTATTACAGTGTTTCTGAAATTACACTTGCCCATACTTAGGGACATAAGTGCTTTTATTTACATAAATACCATGTGCTAGGTGCTTATTAGATGCCATGACTTTTAACTACTTCATGTGCATCATCTCATTTTATCCTCCTCACTACATTGTGAAAAAGACACTGTTATCAAGTCCATTTCACAACTGACAAAACGGAGGCTCCGAGGGGCTGAGTGACTGTCCAGCACATGGCAGCACCGTTTCATTCTACGTGTGTCCTGTTAGGCGGCTGGAGCCTTTGAAGGCAGGATCCCAACACCACTGACCTTATACTTCCAATAGTTAGCAGGGCCCAGCACGTAACGGGTGCTTGTAAGGTATTTCTCATTAGAGTATAGTGACTGCCTTGAAAATGCCCTTTGTTAGAAACTCATCCTTTCATCTTTCTACTGGCAAGTAATCAGGATTTTTACAGACGGTTAATTTGCTCCTAAGTGGAGGTTGTGGGGGAACAACAATACCATGGCCAAGGGACTAGATACTTGAGATATCGACCTAGCAAGAAACATCACCTCACGCTGCAAATGATTAAAACTACACAGCTGTAGGAGGAGCCCCCGTGGAGAAAAAGTGAGGGTTTTACACTAAATATTCCTCTAATTCTCTATCCACACACAAGGGAAAGCAGGCACACACACGGCGCGCTGCATGGCTTACTCCCTTCCACGAAGAGAAGGAATCCCAGATGGCAGAAGAAGGGGGAGGGCAGGGCTGTCTTCCTGGCTGCTTCTCAAACTTCAGTGCGCAGCCAAATCACTTGGGCTCTTGGGAAAATGCGGATTCAGATTCGGGTAGTCTAGAGGGACTCCTGATTCTGCGCTTCCTACCTGCTCCCATGCAAGGCAGTGCGGTTGGTCTGCAGACCACAGACTGACTAGCAGGGGTTCACCTCAGGCCTCACAGGCTGTTCATATGACAGAGATGACCATTTGAAGATGCTGAATTAACAAAAGAAGCACCTTCTGTAAGAAATTTCTAAACTATGCTTGTGCCTACTTGGCCAAGATGATTCCATTTGATATATAATATCCTTCCTGGCTCTTTACCCACTAGAGGATGTTATTAACAGGTAGTTTTATGCTCTTGTAATACAATAATATATAATTTTTAATTATGATAATGTGTACTGGATACTGAAATTACTTTGGTATTTATCATCAAAGAAAGATTAAGTTGTAGTCTGTATAGTTTTAGGAATTGAATAACTGTCAGTGTATTTAGGTTCTCTAAAAGTTGCTAATCCATTAATAGCAACAATAATTAGAACTGAATTCTCAGATTATGTTGCTATCCTGTTTTGCGTTTAGATCTACCTAATCTCTTTATTATTTGAATAATTTAAATAATTAGATTGAATAATTTTCAAAAGCAAGAAACCTGGCATCTAGAATATTGGTTTTTACACTATGGGTGATTGTTATTTGAAACTTTAATGAAATGGCTTAATCTTTTGTCAGAGAAATGATGGGTGAGTTTATAGTCTAAATATACTTTAATTCTTGGCACTGTTTCACTACAAATAAATTAGGAAGTTTTATAATAAAAGGTAATATTATATAGACAATATATTTGTAAACAACAGTCTTCTAAAATAACCTCAGAAAATCTCTGAAGAGACATTCGCAAAAGTCCGCCTGCCAGTCATTAAAGTGAAGCAAGCACATCTCAAAAATGCAGCGACTCAAATGAGAACACGGAAATGACAGAGGCCAGCTCACTACATTATCTTGAAAATGGGACATTTCCATAAAAACACATCTTGACTTTAGGAAAAATCTTCTGGGAGATTTCAGTTTTCATTGTGAAATGGTAAGAAACCCATCTGGTTTGTGAATACAATGAAACATATAAAGCCATAAAACACATGGTTTGTGTCACTGTTTAAATAAAAACCCACTATTAATTGCTCCGTTTAGTTAATTTATTTTCTAAGGGAAAGAAAGTATCCAAATTTCAGTTGCAAATCCACGAGATTGGGTATAACTGAAGTGAAATAAATCTCAAAAATATTTTATTCTTCTTGGAGTCTTACATCTTTTCATTTCTAAAATAATACTTCTCAGTATAATGGTTACTCCAACGAGTGTTTAGGACGACAATGAAATTTGGACAGTGGAGTAATCTTAAAACCAGCAAAAGGTCGGTTTGGCTTTCAAGTCATTTCCATTGCACAGGTGACCTTGTTTAGGATCCACCACTCCAGGAAAGCGGGTGACATCCGCAGCCCTTGACCTGAAGGCGGTCCGGGCAACAGGGAGGCCGGGCAACAGCGAGGCCGGGCAACGGCGTCTTTATCTCACGTCCCTGGCCCTGCACCACCAGCCTGATTAGGAAAAGTTCAACAGCTCTTTGAAAAACAAAGAGAAGAAAAAAGAAAAACTAAACTCCTAAGATGGTTAAAAATTTGTTTAAATCATATTGTTTCTTCAATTAGAACAGGAATTGTTACATTTGATTACCGTATTAAAGCCCGAATGATTTGGTTTGGGTTGCTTAGATGGAGATTGCTTTTTATTTTAACAGCTAGTTCTGATCTGTCCATACCCAGTGGCACAGTTCAGCGCAATTCAGAATGCCTGATTTGAGCAGAATTCTGCCCTGGAAATACTGAGGTATACGGTTTAGGCCAATGCTGAGCTGGTTAAAATGAATGGGAAAGTTGGAATGCAACCTTGCTCCCCAAATCCAGCAAATAACTTGACTCTGAAGGGCAGC